GCTGGGGTCATTGAGGATACATTCCATCTTTCCTTGATAATCTGTACGGTCCATCAGAACAGCCCCAGAACCTTTATCAGGGTTTAAAATGACCAAATTTGACTTGTCATTTTATTCTTTTCTTTCTTTTTTTCTTTCTTCTTTTGGTTGGAAATAGGGTGGACTGAAAGCATGGGTAGCTGCTGTCTACACCTGTCAGTTTTTGGTAAAGTTCGGGTAGACTGATACTCCATTCTAGGTCCGTTTCCTTAAACCACAGATACTTAGAACGTCTAATAGCTTTGTATTATACTTGGCCATGTCACTCAAGTCCTGAGCTGAACACCTAGATGGCAGCTCCGACCAGGAGGGGATGGTAGTTGGCATTGTTTGGAAGGGGTGGGTGCGGGTGGTCGCAGAACTATTGGAGCAGAAAACACTGCAGAAAAGAAAGATTCTTTACTCCGTTGTACCTTCATCGACTTTCTTCATTGTAAACCCATTCTTGCCATTGTAATTACAGAATGTATTACAGTCACCAATGGCCAAAACCTTCCTATTTCCGCATGTGGTAGGCACCTTATGACTTTGGTTTCACAGCCGTGTGTAAGAACAGAAACGGAAGCAGCTCGCACCTAAGTATGTATGCTGATCTCACCATAGGTTCGTAATTTCATCTGTCTTGACCGGTAGTACTTTCTCACCAGTGTCTTAGCCGTTGGCTTAAATTACAGAGCAAAGATATTTGAATGTGTATACTCTTTCTGTGGATGCATAGAGTATGCTGAAGAATTTAATGCTCTCTATAAAAACATTTTTTGACCAGTTATACTACAGCAAGATTATTGGTGAGATTAATCACCGTTTTTATGGTTTGGGAAGTGCCCCGTTAGGATGCGGCGTCACATGCGAACTTAAGATCCGCAATTCACGCATCGGAAAAGAGATGATAGTCGGTAAAACATCTTGCATTACATGGGTAATTGTGTAGTTCAAAAGTTCACGTAAAAGTGGGCAACCTTGTGTTGTGCCTTACCGAACTGTCACTGAACCTGGTCCTATATAGCGGATCCCAACGATTTCATTAATGACAATCGGGAAACATTACGGGCCTGTGGTGGTATCGCCAGCCAAAACATGGTCGTGGTCGAGTAAGGGAAGAAAACGCGTGGTATTTATGGGGTTGCTCACTGTCTAGACATTTGTCCGGAATGGGATTACGTGGGCGGCGATGGGAGATTTGCTAGAAATCAGGTCACCGTACTCTGTACTTTTTTTCTGACTCCTACGTATTCGGTACCATCGAGCAAATGCCGACACGTTCACAAGCCCTGATGCGAATTTCTGGCATCAAAAACTCACACCGCGCATCTAATGCGGTGGGCATAGATGGTTTGAATCAGAGTTTCATCAACGGTGGAACCACTTTCATCGCTTTACCTAATGGATATGAAATAAGCATGACTGATTGTGTCGCCAGCGTTGTACCTGTCGATAGTTATCAAGAGTTGGCACGATTAAATCATCACAAGTCCTGCGGCCCAGACGGAGTCTCACCCGTTGTCCTGAAAGAGTGTGCTGCCTTCCTCTCCCCTGTACTGAGTGAAATTTTTAATAATTGTTTCGCAGCAACGTATACTTGACTGCTGGAGGATAGCCTCCATCACCTCTATACAGAAGAAAGGATCCTCAAACATATCAGAAATAGTTGAGTGGTATCAACAAAGGAACCTCCGCATGAACCCCCCCCCAAATGTAATGACGTAATTCTTTCCTTTTTGAAAGGGCGAAAGTATGATCAATTATCAAATGCCAACCCACCATTATCTATCCTCAGTGACCAGATTGAACGACAACCGTCTGTTAAATACCTTGGCGTTATTTCAGACGTAACCTCCCCTGATCTGACCACGTTAATGACGTTTTTCTGAAGGTCAGGAGGCTCACGTTTTATGTTGTACGTCTTAAATCACTTTCCATCCCAAATCATCTCATAAAGCGTTTTGTTTTTGCTTACGTTTTGCCCCACTGACTTTGCGGATCCTCTTTTATCTCCCCCGGTCTTTTTAACAAGGATCTCAAACTCATTTTCCGATCCCTCAAGTTTCTGTCAATTTGTAGTCTCATACCACGGGAACATCTAGTACAGTATGTGGTGACACACCAGTTCAAGTCCTATAAAACATTTTATCCGATATTGCCCATTCCTTTTATTCTGATCTTAGTCAATACCTTTCTTACTCATCCGCCCGTTCCACTCACAAACTTATAAAGACACGCACTGAAGCTTATAGGCGCTCTATTGTACCGTATCTCACCAAATTTCTAACAAAACATGAACTCGTTGCAGGAAATTTGCGCAGTGCTAAACTAAACCAATCATAAACACCCGGGTGCGCCACTGGTTTCGGATGTTGCTGTCTGTTTTCACGCCTTTTAATTGCTGTATTATAATGGATTTTTTCGCTTTTTGTTGACACACTGTGGTTATGGGGTTGCTGAATATCCACCTTTCGAGGTGTATTAAGCGATTCCTTGACTTGACAAGGGACATATATCTTATTTCTTGGCAAGTCACACACTACTAGTCATCAGACATTTACATGGAATTTTTCGGAGAGACCGCTTGCCAGACGCAAAACTCATCACGTACGCCAGCGTCTCTCATCAGTCGCAAAAGTATAGCATGCATGCTGTTTCTTTTTGAGCTAATTATATCATGATTGTTTTACACTTTTGATTTGTCATTTAATGTCCGGATGTCATACGTTTGCGGTCGGTGAGGTTATGCAAATGCTTTGTCCCGCACGATATATTTTTGTCATGCCTGTTTACTTTATTCGCTGAATGCTTCTGTTTAAATTGTCGGATCTGCTATTCTTTACTCGTATTTGGGAAGGAGAAAACCCAGGCAAACGGAATAAACCCGATCATATTGTTACGACCAGTAAAAGATAACTGTCATATAAGATGTTTGTGGTTATTCCAACACTAACAATAGGCTCGGTACTTCGAAGCTGAACCAAAGGTCTACATCATAAACATAGTACATTTCAGGACATATATTTCTTGAAGAGTCGTAATGAAATGAGTGTTTGGGATCATAATTACTTGTTATCGGTAGTACTTTCGTGGGTGGTAGCCTGCATTGTTTACGGTCAATATTCGAATAACTTATTGCTTGGGTCATTCCGTTTTCGAACTTTCACCACGACATATCTGGATTTTTTTCTCATACTAAAACTTTGTTTTCAACTAACCTTATAACACATTTCCAATAGAAACCGAAAACATATCACCGAGATGCACAGTCTCCGGTTGTTTGAGGTGAAATCTATATCCGAGTCAGTATTTATAAATTTTTGACAGAAAAGATTGTGATTTTTTTATGCATTGCGCCATACTTTTGATCGTTTCAAACAGGTCACTACCCAAAATGATCCTAATTTTCTTCGAACACTTGAACACGCAATCAAACTCGGATTGCCCTGTATGATCGAGGGAGTGGAGGAGACTTTGGATCCGGCCTTGAACAATATAATTGCCCGGAATATTCGAAGTACGTTTAAGCCTAGTAACAATGATCTTCTACTTCCTTCATTTCTTTTAAATATACAATGGCACAGTCGAGTTTCGATATTGGACCGCGGTCGATAAAACGCGGCTTGGGAAAAAACAGATTGGTAGAAGGAGTGACTGTGGTAAGCTTCGAACTCAAGAACTCTGGGTGACTGTATTGATATCCTTAATTGCGCCACCGCGGCTGCCATATCTTTGTATCTGCTTTCGATGACAGCATTAGTTTGTTGTAAATTTCTCTTGATGATTTCTATTTGACTCTTTAAATATGCTCAACAGGATAGTTATTTACTAACCTTCAACATAGCCTTTCTAATACGAAATTAATTTACACAGTACTTGTTCCTTGAATTCTGTATAAAGATTTTTTGCGCTCTCTCTTATATACTTTTCAACTGCAGCTGATTCTATCATTGTTTGACTTCGTAGTTGATACTGTCATCGGAGGAGTCTGTTCACCTCTGTCAGACAATCAACTTACATAGGTGATTGTGTAGCAATGCACTGATTTAGATTATGACCGTTAACTCATCGTTTCCCTCTAACTGATCAAATATATTTGTTGGTTACTTCCCGTTTTGCAGAAGAGAAAGGACGTGAGATTGTGATGCTTGGAGATCGTGAAGTGGAATATGATCCAGAATTTCGTCTGTACCTTGTTACCAAACTGGCCAATCCGCATTTCTCAGCGACATTGTACAGTCGTGCTCTGGTGATCAATTACACAGTGACTCTCACCGGTTTGGAAGGACAGTTGCTTAGCGCATTGGTGAAACATGAACATCATGAATTGGAAGAACGTCGTGAAGCGCTAATCCTGGAAACCAGGTTCTATTTCAATGTTGTGCTATCTTTACTGCTGTTTACACAATCACGATTACTCATAAGTAGCGGTGTATCATTTTCTTTTAACAACATTTTTACTCACAGTACTTTTCACTTCACCAACCATACACTGAAAATGCATCTGTTTCAATTTTCGATTTGTTTGGAGCCCGTTACAGCTCGTTAACAAAGCGGGGTTACACAAGCCTTCTAGTGGAGTGATCAGGGGTTGAAACTAAGGCTGCATCGGTGAATATACACCGCTGTTGAACTGCTAATCAGACTGTATGAGTGATTGGATCAACAATTTTTCATGCGTGATTATGAAGCCTATTGGTGGACCGGTCAAAAAAAGCCCTAATTGTGATGAAAAGGAATCTCAAAATAAGACAGATGATTGTAGAGGTAAAATTCAACCTGATTAGGAAACCAAACTGCGACCAGTAAATTTGAATTTCTGCCTCACTCACAACTGGAGCTTGATTAAATGGTCGGTACAGAGAAATGTTACATGCAACTGACAGCAGATTTATCTCTGTAGCTTCGAACGCAGTCTATATATTTCACATCGGTTTGAGAACATACATGGTGCTAACACGATAGCAATGAAACGAAAAGCGAGGATTTGGGTACAGATGAAGTAAACGAAAGCAACGAGAGATGGATTACAGAGGACAACAAAAACAAGAACAACAGAAGACTATCTTACACACCATTCGTCAAACAGCTCCTTCAGCCAAGCTCCAAACTCTGTCCCAATTTGGTTCATTTGTCTCTACAGTTGATAGGGGGAGTTTCCAATTCAACTGTCTCTTTTAGTGTCTATTCCATCAAGTGAATAATCAGTTGTAATCAACCTCGTTTTCGGTGTTGCATGACTTGTTACGACCTATATATATTCATAAATACAAACATGTTCCAACGGAACAGCCTTTATTGACTGTAGGACTTAGTGTCTATCTGAACACCAATAACTACTTTCTTGTTTGGTTATGAAGTGGGATAATAAGCTAATCATCGATGAGGTGGTTTCACTCCTTGTTGGCATCGTTCATTTCACAAACAAAACCGAAGCTTTTCAACGTCTGCACGGGGTCAAAATAGAAATGTTTAACCATATGCGGTCTCGCACTATCAACGTCTTCGCTCTGTGCGAAGAAAAGNCTTCCTTCACCAGATCGGTCATATGTGATCGGTCCAACAGCTCAAACCCAAATGTGTAAGCGTTTAACTTACCAGCCCTTTCTTCTCCGACCTCTAGCGGCTATCCATCATGCATGTTGTGTTGTATTGGTTTAGTGATGATTCATCCAACACCCATTTGTGATCTCTTCTGTAGCACTGTTTAGATATGTTATGATGGAAAATCAAATGGATGCTTTTGATTTGTAAAAGACTCACTGTATTAACCACTGCTGCCAGTACTGAGGGAAGACCTCAGGAACATGAAAGTTAACCCCAAACGGAAAACCCCTACTTAAAGGAACTATTTTATTTTTTTCAGATGAAATCTATGGTGGTGAATGTTCTCAGTGACCAAGAACGAATTCTGTTTCAATCCATCTCTCTGCACTGTCGGGAATAGAATACAGTATAGTATTTAGCTCAGTGGTCTATGCAGTAGATGTATAACTCCCGAACCGCCAAAGACTTTAGTTCGAACTCAAACAACGGATCCCGCCTACACACAATGACACTGATCCCTCTGGACTGAAATACCGGCTAACGTTACAACTGGAAAAATGGGCAGCATAGAAGTGATAAAGTATTGTGCATACACTGATTGATTCCACGAGATGAGAAGAGAACCTTTAAAGTTTAAACTGGTATTCTTCAATTTTACCAATAGGCTTGTTACCGTGACTGCTTTTGCCTTTCGTCCCTCGCACCACATGGCGTTTACTCATGTTGCGTCTGAATGATGAGTTATCCCTCCCTTCATGAGTTCCCTTTATTATAGCTAATTTTTCACACATTTTCGATCAGTGAAAACAAACGCATTTTGAAAGAACTGGAAGACAGACTACTACTTGAATTGGCCACACAGACAGGGAATATTTTGGACAATTGGGAATTGATTGGTACGTTGGAAGACACGAAAGAGAAAGCGGTGGACGTGAGCAAACAATTGGCTCAAGGTGCTATCGTTTCCAAAGATGTCGAGCGTCAAAGGGACTCGTTTCGACCGGCTGCCAGGTGAGCTTTGAGAATAATCTGTTTATTGTACAGCATACGTTTTACCAGCTGAGTAATTTGGTCATACCAAATGCTCTTTTTCACATTATGTTTGAAGCCTAGAGCGCCATCGTGATGGAGAGAACGGAAAACCGGTAGAAAAGTAATAAGCACACGGTTGTGACTGGTCCCAACACAGTCAGTGAACATAGAGATTTTGATGTATGATGCTCTGCCCAAAAATAAATCAATCACAGATGAGTGCCCTTTCTATGATGAATCCTGACCCTGAACCGAGGTGGCACACACACTTAGGTTCGCAACTAACCGAGGAACCTGATCATTAGGAAATTGGATTATGCGACTTTTTTATTAAAAAAAAAACTAAACAATGAAAAAAACACCTCAAACTGATTTGTATTCCAATCCATTTTAACCAGTGAATCAGTCTACGGTCAACCCAACGGTGGTCACATGTTCACGACAGATTCATTCGGCTTTTAGTGTCTCACCGCAGACCTCAATGGTATAAACTAGTGCGCAATACTAAAAAAGCTTAGCGAAGCGGAAACCGATTTATATCAGTAACCAGCCCTCAATTTTAGTTGATATTTGTGGTAAATATGAAGTAATTAAGTATACCAATTAGATCCATGCGACTCATTATGTGAAAGCACCACCTGCCCTTTGGCCGTTTTATTCCGAAATTTACCAGTAAATCTTAAAATATAAGTTCCTGCTTCGTTTGCATACCAGGTTTTTAAAAAGGTTCTTTCTTTAACTGTTTTAAAAAATGTAAATTTTATCTAGGAACTATAAGCATTACATCCCTCTGTTAGGATGTTTGTTTCAAAGCACAGATCCAACGAATCAGAATAGATGGCGTGCATCATTCTTGTCGAGTTGTGCACAATAATTGAAACACCATTTGGATAATAGGCTAAAATAGGCTAAAACATGGGTAGAATCTCTTCTGTTCCATGAGTGACTCAGACGACTATTACTGAAGACAGAGAAGGAGAGAAAGGGAGATAAGCAAAGGATATCCACTTTTGCTTACTTATCGAACCACCTATTAGAAGTGCATTTACCTATTCTGCTTCTACCTTTATTCCTCCATCCTGTGTTCTCCTCTCAGACGCGGTGCAATCCTCTTCTTCGTGTTGGCCGATTTGGCTATGGTCGGACCGATGTATCAATTCTCGCTCTCGTCCTATCTAACAGTGTTTCTAAAGGCATTGAAAAAGGCCATGCCACACAGTTCGTTGCCAAAACGATTAAGCAACATTAAAAATGCGTTGACTTACGCAACCTATTGCTATGGATGTATGGGTAAGTGAACAACCTGTATCGATCCTATCCAGTTAACTGAAGTGATGAATTACGATAGATGAAGTAAAATGATGCATAGTATAGGCATGAAAATTACTTTGTACAGTCACTATGAGCTACTCGATGCCAAGAATACATGCTCCACCATTCGCAAAGTTAAATGCAAGTCTTCAGGCACTTAGTTAGGAGGAATGTTTAATGATAATCCTTACAGTTCAGTAATAAATATTATTTGTTCTTATTTCGTGACAGGTATATTCGAAGAACACAAATTGTTGCTTTCCTTTGAACTGGCACTTCGATTGCAACAGGACGATAATTTGATCCGACCGAAAGAGTTAGCCTTTCTAGTACGTGGCAATGTCGCGTTGGCCGAGCACAGTCACACTCCACCGCACCCGTGGATACCTGAGACCGTATGGCGTGATGTGATCTATCTGGCTGCATTCTTGCCTCGCAGATTTGGAAAATTGCCAAAAGATGTACGGAACAATGGAAATGAGTGGAGGAAAGTATGTTTGTTTTAATAAGAATGTATGTACAACCTTACTTCTCGCGTAATTTCAATGATGCAAAGACCACTAGCCCTGATGGAGTACTATCGCTCTCTGATGGGAATACAGCTAATTCAGCCAACAGCAAATATGTGACTTCAGCAGATACATTTCCTCATCTATCCACAATTCTACTGACTGGATTATCAATACAAGAGTTGTCAGAGATGTGATGGAGTCCCGGGGCGAGATGAGAAGTGGTGAAACACACATGATGAAACATCGAAGGACACAGCAATAAATCTGCACCGTCATTCTTGAAGAAGTTAGGTCAAAGATTACGTAGTTAGCGTATTAACTGTAATAGTCAGTTTGCTTTTCGTCAGTCTACTCCTCACACACTTCATTTTTTTGCATAAGGAAAAATCACTTCGCTGTATTTCCTTGCAAAATAGTGATTATTCTGTACATTGTGATTGTGGGTAGCTCATGGTCACTTATTGGGATTGCTTAGTTGAAAGCCGATTGATTTCTTTATGCTTGCGCCTGATGAATCATGTTTGTGTTATGTTAAATGAACGGCAATCAAACCTCAGATGAACTTTTTTCTTCTCTGGCTGGTTTTTGTTCATCCGGGATTGATCTATCTGCAGAAGTGACTGTATGTACGGTTCAGTAAAACGGTGTGCATGGTTAAAAATGAAATTGGCCAATTTGTACCCATACTGAAACTGGGTACCGTAATCGCCTAATAAAAAATTAAGGACTACCTACCACCTGCTCTGATCGAAACCATAGTTTAGGTTTCGCTCTGGCTGAATAAAGAGTGCTCAGAGAAATAAAAAATTGACGATAATTGATTCAAGTAATGATGCGAATCATAAGAGAACCAAATGCACAATGCAAGTGAGTCCATGCTTCAGCTCTTTTTCTACGTTACTGAGCTATATCTTCACTGAATCCATTCATTGAATAACTTTGACTGATCACTGAGGTTAATCACCGGAGTGTGCTTGTAGCGTGGGTAAATTTCGGCGAATTGATGCAGTCATCATAATGCTGCTTAGTCCATGGCACCATACCATTACCCAGTTCACTTAGAATTACAAACAATCTTATTTTAAAAGTCGAAAAGGTGCAGCGTTTAACGTGGGAGCCACTTTTCTCACCGCTAGACTTCTCAGGAATAATTTCATGAATATGCGTTTTTATAGTGTTTTTCTTATACCAATTTAGTCAACTTTGTAGGTACACTCTTGAGTTAGTCGACTGTGGACTTGTTGGTTCATTCTACGCTGTTTTCACCTCAACATGACCACATATTTCTCAATGTAAGCTTATCTTAAGCCAAACTACACCAGCCTTTTCCCGCGTTATCTCCTCTTCTTTTAAAAAACTAATCACTAATGTGTGATTTTGCGAACTTTGATGACGGTTCGGTGTTTTTCACATCCCACCCCGGCGTACATGTAAAACAGTGGTTTGACGCGAAAAACCCCGAAGCAGTACATTTCCCAGGGCGTTACGCCAAACTGAGCCCATTTGTTCGTCTCTGTTTGATTCGTTGCTGGCGCATGGATCGTATTCCCAGTGCAGTGACTAACTATGTGATAAAAGTGTTAGGCAAAGCGTACGTGGAACCACCGATCACCCAGTTGGCCGACGTGCTCACCTCGACCACACCGACCATCCCGATTGTCCTGATTGTACAACCCGGTTCGGATCCGCAAAGTCAGCTGACCAGTCTGGCACAATCATTGGATTTAGGACACAATCGAATCAAGTATTTGTCTATGGGTCAAGGCCAAGAACCGGTAAGCAATGCTAATAGACGGACTGGTGTGAGGAAGTGACTTTGGTTATCAAGATCTAATTTGATGGTTATTTCGATAGTTATAATCAGGTCTATGATTGTCACATAAAAATAAAGTTTTAGCAGATAAGTATTATTTGCTGTGTCCACCATAGCTGCATTAAATAACGGGAATTTTTGGTTTCCAGTTCCAAGAACGGTAGGCAAAGTCAAAGCTTACTTTCCTTATGGTGGCATGTTAGTAGTGAAATGTTTGCCTTCGGTGTTTAGGTGCGGAAAACTACTCTACCGGCAAGCAGTTTTTACCCTCATTTACCTCACGCGATCTCCGCAGATTTCTTCAATCGATCAGATGTGATCTATGTGTTTGTTTGTTTTCTTGCAGCACGCGGAGAGTTTGTTTGTTCAGTGTGCAGCTCGGGGAAATTGGCTTTTGCTGCAAAATTGTCATTTGCTGATCCGATTCTTACCCACTCTGGAGAAAATGCTAGACGAGCTAAGCAAACCGCATCCGGATTTCCGATTGTGGATCACGACTGAGATGGTCAGCAATTTCCCCATCGGAATGCTACAACGCTCGTACAAAGTAAGTTAAACATTCAACCGGGTTTTGTGCCATGATAACTAATCGTGTTCCGAACAATGCTAATCAGGTCAGTAAATTTGAAATACCGTTTGCCCGTAAATAACGGCAACAGCGAAGTTTGTACAATCTATTCTGTTCCTCAACTAAACAATGGTTCAGATATGCATTACATTTATTGTACAAACATTTTATTAGAGAACTAAGTGTGATCCGGATGGAGGGACTTGCATGCACAATTCCAACCTGCTGTATTGATGACGTTAACTATATATAGTCTACCGGTGTCGACACAAAAGGAACAACAGCTACGATCAATTTTAGAAATCTAAGATGCCCCACGGAATGAAAACAATGTTCACTTTCAGTAATTCATAAACGTGGTAGTATACTCGGCCAAACGGAGTAAGGGGTTTGAGAGAGAGAGAAGTGAGAGTGAACCCATCACAGATTACCAGGGTCAAGTTCTGTTTTATTGTCCATTTCGAAACTGACAACGATTAAAATTTTAATTATTCATACGATCATCGACATTTCTCGAGATATTTCGCATGTGGTGTGTTATGGGAGTTTCGATGCAGATAACTTTGGGGCTCGAGTTTCTGATCTGTATGAAGTATTTCTTGAAGAGTGGGCGAGTTTTATAAATTCTACTGAGTACCTGATGATGCATTTCGCGAAAAAGCTTTTGTACTATCCGTGATGTGAGTGCTCTCAACGAATGCGACAACTAGCTAAGATGCATGATTTATCGGACGCGTTCCATCGCCACTCAGATACTATGGGCTTAAAGACCGCGAGTTAATTTTAAGATCACTGCGAATCTGGTATGTTCGTTGTTCAAGACAAATCTTAGTAGACACTGATTTTTGACCTTTCACACAGTAGTATCCCTTTGAAAACATGACTGATTGTCTTCCCCCAAGGTCCTCACCTCCAATTATTGAAGAATTTCCTCATTAGTTCACTTTTAAAATATCTGTCACAGTTTACATCATTGTCAATATACTTCTAATCTATCTACCTGAAAATGCAATCATTTTCTGATATTCATCACCATCCATCGCTTCCCGATGTCTGGATGTTATCTCACATGCCTGTTACTGCTCACTTTGATTGGACACTACTGAAATCACCTTTCCACATTTTCGTAACCTGCAAACGGTTCAGTGAAGAAAATAAGACTATGATTCCACGATCTTGAGCTTTCATTTTCCGATGCATACTTGTATTCGAATTGAGATGTTTCACTTTGTGCGTACTCGAAGAAATCGCGCTGCTTGAAGATTTTCGTTGTCATGTGTTGTCTACTCATCAGTAGTCAGCATAAGGATGAGGCTAAATACAATCATATTCCATATGAGAGTCGTCAGGACGTACCAGATAATGGATTCATCGGCAGTGTACCATTCTTCAGTACCTATAAGGATAAAGCGAAAAGAGCTTCAATATATAATCTTGTATCTAAGTGATCACGGAGCTCCTGGGTAAGACTTATAACCTGAAGGGTTTGGATCGCTCTTCGGAGGTTGTAATCTAAGTGCGAGTATGGTTATATTAGAAACCTTGATACATTCCATTGAGTCTAATGTGCTGAAAACATTGAACCAGTTCCCTGTATTCTTACGCTACATTTCAATTCATTCATGACAGAATCCTAACGAAATGTTACCCTCTTTGTTAACGAAAATTGTTACGTCGCAAAACGAATTTATCTCAATACTAAGCCATTACAGTGTCATGTCCTTCATGAATGTGAAACTATTCACTGTGGTGTGAGGGAGTATGAACGGAAAAACTCATTCCGTCAACATTCTGTGGATAATTTACATGTCAACTTGAAAAAGGAATCTCTCAATCATATGTTTTTTAGTCGACAACAAGCTATCGGATCAGGATAAATGGATAGGGCAAAGTAAGGTGACAGGTGTGAAGTGGACACGATGTGAGAAATGTTAGACAAGAATGACAAGTGTGACAATGTGAGAAAAAGAAAGTCCATGAGGAAATGAGGAGAATGTAAAAGGTGCCATGGTAAGAGCAACGTTTCCACACCGGTCTAACTGATATGACACAATACCTAATGATCTGTTCGTGCCATATCCGGTGATTCACTACCCTGGAAACAAATTGTTGAGAAAAAAATTCAGCTACCATTGATTTACTCTGGTATTCGATTAAACTGTGTAAGATTGTAATGGTCAATTCAGGTCAATTCACTTCCTGAATCGTCTGTGTATCTGGTACGGCAGGCCGACAGCTCTGTTTGGACATTTCGTTGCTCGTTGAAAACAATTCCCAGTTATTAACCATTGCAAGATGTACTAAACGAAAGATGACAAAACAGACTTGGTTTGACTGAATGCATCAAGTCTGAGTTTTCGGTAATCGTGCTAACAACTCAACCGTCTCAATCAGCTAAATTAAAAACCGGTAAGTTTATCTGCGAAAATAGTGCACTATTTTCTACAAACTGGGCTGGTTCGGATCGGAATGAAAATAATTCGGAAAACGCCAGTGACTAGAGAGAGAGAGAAGTTGAGTAATAATGTGAAAAGAGTTGAGTCTGCACAACCGTCTATCTCAGTTCGGAGTAGAAAATGTCACTGCTTTCCAACTTTATTGTAGGTAGCTCGTTTACACAAGCTTTCGTGGTAACATACATATATACTGCAAAGTGGCATCCCCGGTGCCACTGAAACTTTGCCTTATTCGACATTCAGTATTAAGACAACCGTGAGTCGCACAAATATAACAAGTGTGTGAAAAGATGCGACGGGTTGAGCAATGATATAATACAGATAAAAACCTATGCGATGAAGCTGAGCGGTGAAGGAGAAGACGCAGGTAACAGAGTGTTGCCATTGGCATTGTGGATTGAATGTACTATTCAGCCAGGGAATGACAGAAAAATATGATTTCTGTTAGCTAGTGAATAGGTTTGAATTCGATCTTACTATTCAGGTGAAATACTGTTACTTCTTTCACCATTGTCACTATTGTTAAGTATTTTGTCAAGTGTGCATTTGAGTGTCAGAAATACGTAAGCAATCGCATTTGATTCAAAGGAATTGGTTTTATTCGAGAGAATCTCGGCCTCAACAGAATTTACTCATTGGGTTATTGAGGACTTAAACTGGCTCCACTCACGTGTGGGCGTTTTGACCGACTTATCGATCCATCTTGACGTGATTCGCTTCCTTACTCGACCGACCGACAGAGGTTAATTAACTCCGGGCTCGTTCTTCATTCGTATCTATGACGCACACTTGATCAACGATCACGAACATAACGTTCCCGGGTGGAACGAGTGTGTGTGTGTGTGTGTGTGTGTGTGTGNCGGTAACTCACTAAAAAAGTACTTTTGTTTGTTTGCGGGGAAGTGAGTTCATTCAGACTGGAGGGGGGTTTAGACGGACTCGGTCCAATCAGTGACATTTGACGGCCAAAACACCAATAATCTTCTTGGGTTCCCAGTGGAATTCGATTGGTTGGATTCACTTGAAGTTGCAATGGATTTATTTGAAGTTGAAAAGATATGGACGTACGAATGACACGGGCGACTGTTGCGAACCCCCAATAATAACGCGGGAAGAGGACATAGTTGGAGACAAAATCTTATCCAATGGTTTTTTACTGTTTCAGATGCGCTTGTGACGCATTCTGCACCGGTTGTGCGGCAGTTATTCATCGCATGAAACAACACGATTCGCACTGGTTTTTTATTGGTGTTTCCGGATCCATCGCGAGTGCGATTCTTGTTCACTTATTAGACACTGGCCATCTCGTCTTACTCCATGCGAAGCATTTAAAATTATTTTCCAGGTTCCCCGAACAGGTTTAAATATGTTAGAATGCGTACGTTAGCCATACCTGTATTAAACACTTGACCCCCGAACTATGTCCTCAGAGATATATAATCGAAGCTTTCTATCTTTTTATTGGGGTTCAAGAACCCACCACTCCCACCTACTCACACCATATATGCATACAATTATGCCGAACCCTCGGAAATGAGTCACACGACCAAAGCGACAACTGAAAATCTTGGAAGCATAAAACTGAATACATAATGCGCAACGGAAATGTATAATGCATAATGATCCTGTGGTAATCATATTATTAGTGAATGTAGAAATACGAGAACCCATTTCTGTAATGCTCAGAACTGGATTGGCTCCAACCTGAACTGCGGACACCAATAAAATACATGAGGAATTGGTAGTAGAAAATGCTTATGTTTATTGATGGAATTAGATCATGTTTTATAGAATGTAATAGGCCATATGATAGGTTGAAGGACCGTTGTCCAATCACGTAACCGTTTGCACAGATGCATCACATGTACTAATTCGGATGTAATGTTCGCTCGGTGTACCATTGGCCGAGCTTTCTGAACTGTGATTGGATGATGACATGAGGCTGTACCCGGTCGTGCTTGAAATGCAGTCACGTATGCCTGGATCACCGCAGACCCATTCCACATATTTTAATGGTATCCTTCCTACCCCTAGGTTTTATTCTCTCTAATATAAATTGTAACGGCATGATTCCCTGATTTCATGGTTCTGAATTACCAAAATCTATTGTTCGCCTGAAATTCTGTTCCAAATGAGAGTATTGGTGTATTTAGAAAGTTGAAATAGAAAAAGTAGGCATTGCTAATAAATCCCAAGAAGGAAGAAGCAGCTAACCAGCACTGTTTATCAGCATTAAACCACCATACAAACAAAATAAATATCTACACCAAGCGGGTTGATGCTGTCTTCGATAATGCAAACAAGTTATTTTGTGGAATTATTTCCATATTATATGAAAAAACAATTGGCATATCATATGTGATTGACCTTATAGGCATGAATGGACTGTAATATTCGAGGTATGTGTGGTATGGTCGAGTGTGGTCATGATTGGGTGCGCAGATTAGGTTGACCTAATTACACTCGTAAAGCAGATCGGACTAGTACACAACAAAATCTTCTAATTATTTTTGGTAAAACCAGATCCATGGAGTTCAGTAATCAAGTTCTTCAGAGTGAAATGAATTTTAATATTTGAATTAGTGAAAAAACAATATATTTTTTGAGCTGAAAGTGCAATCCATGTTTGAAATCGCTGAATCACTTTCACTTGGTCATGTATGAACGCATATTGTCATCGCGTTTATTTTTCCCCATTCCCCAAACTGCTCAGATTGTTATGGAACCGCCTAGTGGATTGAAACAAAATTTAGCCTCCGGACTGAGCAAGTTGTCTCACGAGCAATTTGTCAGCTGTCCGCATCCAAACTATCGATCCTGTATGTTCACATTGATCTTTTTGCACGCAGTGCTACAAGAACGACGCCGATTTGGCAAATTGGGTTGGAATGTGAGCTACGATTTCTCCGATTCCGACTTTTTGGTCTCATTGCGAATCGTGCAAATTTCCCTGACCAAATCGCATGAAACGAAAACGGAAATATCATGGGATACGATCAAATATCTCATTGGTGAGGTGAGTTTAATAGATGATTTCGATCCTTCTCCAGCCTTATTAGGCACATTCGTTGGCTATATGCGAAAATCATGGTGACTTGTTTCCAGTAATCAAATATGTACATGCATATATATGCGTGCTCGGTCTAACTTCATGGAATCAGTGAAAAACTTTGCAGTCGCATATTTCTAAAAATAAATGGTATATAATCTGTATGCATGAGATACAATTTCGGTTTCGGTTTGTACAACTAATAACCATGCACTCTCGTGTTCTGGTTTTTGCTATTTTTCGGCTACTCATTTCAATGAACAGTAAGAAAAGACAGGAAATTTGAAAGTGGAGTCGAACAGAAAATGCAGAATTTCAGTGAACTAAGGTTCTAAAGAAACTGAGAAGATGCATGAACACCATTGTTTACGACACTCAGCCATATCACTCATTGTCTCCAACCACCGGCTACTATTATCCCGAGGTTCTTGGCCCGGGAGCCTAACGGGACCTATGTGATCGAATCTCCTGGTTAGGGTTTTCATGCCAGGTCTTAGTTTGATCGTCCTTGACCTTTTTCCACCCACCACCTGCCTCGGCGAACATCGCTCGCCGTGGTCACCTATTTGGTGACACGCGCAGCTCATATTCCAACCAGTGTAGTCTAAGTAGGTCGACTATTTGCTCCAGTGGGCGACCGCGGTTATCTGAAACTCCTCCGCTAACTTCGGAATTGCTCATCCGCTTGCTCCGCCATACTCGTGCAATGCTGCGTAGACAGCCGTGTTCAAATACCGATAGTTTATCTTGATGCGATGCTCTTAAAAATATATTGTTCCATCTGGCCCATGATGCAGGTGAGTACTCTGAGCGAGCAATCTTTTTACTCGAACTAGGACGATGGCAACTCCGGACTGGAGGTCCTTCTCTTGTTGGTTGGTGGTCAACAGGTGGGGTTCTGAGGTTGGTAACAGACGTACCGAAGAAAACAGAGAATCACAATGAACGAGCCCGGATTGTCTTCCGAGTACGTTGTATCTTTTGACAACATTGCTATGCTAACTTATTCTTTCAAACACAAAACTTTGAAAACCAATTAAGGTTTTACGGTGAAAATAGAAGAACACTGGTGCTCTTTCAAATCGTGTTGCTCATTTTATCCCGTTTGCAATCAGTTTTTTTTCTCTCTCTCTGTTTCTTAATGTTGATCCGGTGGTGTCATGCTTGTTACCCACATACCCCGCGGGTTGGCAAGGTTAACATGCTTTGTAAAATCGGCTGACCTTTTGGATTTGTTAACAAGACGCATTTGTTCATCCATATTTAGGTGATGTATGGTGGAAGAACAATAGACAACTACGATCGCCGTGTTCTGACCACATATATGGACGAGTATTTCGGCGATTTTCTTTTCGACACATTTCAACCATTCCGATTCTATCGGGACGAGAAAGTGGAATATTTCATTCCCGAGGAACCGACAGGTTTTGCCAATTATAAAGATCTCTACATGGGTAGGTAATGTTGTGTCTCACGCTTTATTGTACTGATGAATGCAGACAGTAACACTAGATGCGAGTGACCTGTTTCATTCAGTAGCTTATCGTCAAAGGTTTTCACAAAAACCACCATCGAAGACATGAAATGATTACGGTGTTATCTGGGTGATGCACTTTCCGTTTGGTGATTCATAGGATTAGTCGAATCGCAAATTTTGTTGAGGCCTTGATTTGAGTTGTTAGGATGACCTTTTGTTGACCAGGCTTTGGTTTTCGGTCATTGGTCTACAGTAACCACGGTCAGCTGTGTCCTAACTGCGGATCGCATCCCACGAGTATTCCACATCTGGGTTTGTCGATTTACGGTCATCCCCGTTGTCGCGCCCAAAATCTCACGACTTTGCGGCTCTGTAGCATCACCCTTCATCCACTAGTGCTGTTGGGTAGATTACGGAGGTTAACTTTATTTTCACACCGAACGAGGGCGGGAAATCGGGTAGTCAATCCGGGGGTAGACAAACGTACGATCATTTGACTATGATTATAAGAAATTCTCGACTCAAAATTCGGAGGGTTTTTCAAAGATGTACTTTTCTGAGTATGGATTCTGAATTGAATTTTAAATGTTGTGACCTTTCAAAATGTCGGGACCAGGTGATTCGGAATGTTCAGATGAATTGAAAACGAAACTTCCAACATCATCAACAGTGCCTGGTGCCTGTGAAAAACCGAATGGGCTAATCCAAAAATTCATCATCTAAATTGATTGAGCCATTCGTACAAGGTGATAACCGTCGACCGTGTAGCTCAAGAGTAAGGGTTTGAGGTCCCAACCCAAAAAATCGCGGTTCAAGTCCTGACAGGGACACAAAAAGTACGCACTGCGGACGAGTCCCAAACAGCTGCTCAGTGCTCTTTGTTAGTTATTACAAACATTTTTATCGTATTAAAACTTCAATGCATTTGGTTGGGTTTGAGGAAGACCAACATCATCGGACCATTCAAAACTGGAACTTAAGGTTGATTGAAGGGGGCTGACGATGGAAAGGCTGGCGTTGGAGGCGTCGCCAATTATTTCATCATCGTCTGAAAGATACCTATCACAGCATTTCGAACCAACACCATCTGGCGAAACAATTGTCTTTTTCAAGGCGTTTACAATTACATAGGTAACATCAGAAAACAGATCACGCAACACCAGTTATGGGTAAGAGTTTGTAATGGTCAACTAGCTTTTGTAATTTGATTGGTTGCACTAAGTTACGGCCTCCGGATGACTGGACGGCGGCAACAATCGGACCTGATCGATCACGGGCCATGGAAGTTGGAGTGAATGAATCAAACGCTTTTACGTCATCGGCATATTTAAATCTGAAAACACCTTGGTTGACATTGACAGTGGAAGACCTAATACCCTTAAGACATGTGAACTGGTGTCAATCGGTAAAATAGTCATGCATCCAATTCAACGCATGTTGCGCGAGATTTGGTTGACGTTTCTATCAACTGAGTTCAAAGCGTTTGTATAGTCCAAAGAGCAAATATGAACAGTTTTGTGTTTTCGGTCCACCATGGACAAAGCTTATTGTGAAAGACAAGCAACCGCATCTGCAATAGGCGAACTGATTGGAATCACAGAGATCAACAGAAGAGGAATGAGCCTTCGTAATCCTTTACTCAAAAGTCTTGAGTAGTACCGACTATGGAGTTAATCGGTTGAAATTTCCTATTTTCTTTCTTTGGTATTGGAGTCATGCGAACATCCCACCACCTATCAACTAAGTTGCTTGACTGACTATAACTGCCTTTGTGAATAAATCCAACATAGAAAATGCCAATGTTCATTACCATCAAATTAGCTTGCACTGATGCCGGAAGATTGCCACAGTTTATTCTTAGTGTCCCCACAGTGATCATTATTTATTCACTCAGTTTGTTTACTAATGGCGAGTCTGTGAAAATCGTCCGCTCTAGTGTCATGTAATGTGTGGATGTCTTTTATGCAGCTATACTTTTCTGACAACGAGTATCCGCTTTTACCTTCGCAAATATCTCTTTCACATTTAAATCACAGATACCTGTGAGCAATGGAGTGGGGTGATTGAGTGTGTGGCTGACTGAAAGAGGGGGACTGGACTTGACGGTGAAGTCTGAGGGATTGTCAGTTCAAATCAATATCTCTTGTTATCAAACGAATCAAGTGCGTTCTGTTTCGCTCAGTTTTACAGGTTAAGCCAGGAGTGGGCGAGCTACAGCTAAGACATAACCGTTTGTCGTTGCTAACTCCAGTCACCAAATCCCACCTCAATAACTGTAACCCAAGCCTCTCAACAAATTTTGCTATTTAATGGGCCCGGGATCCACGGCATGAAAAAAATGCATCACTCGGATTGCACAGTAGGCACTGAACTCGTTGGTTGGTTTTTCTATTTACGCTGAAATTTTCTTAAATCATTCTTGAAATGGTACAGACAATTTCAAGTTTATTCAGAGAAACTATCACACTGATTTGTGAAACTCAAAAAATGACGGCCTATAAGTTAAAGTCACTGCGATCAATGATTTTGTGGCACTTATTCATGTTTCAACCGTGAAAAAGTTACTAGTCCCGTTGAAAATCGAATCCATGTCTGAACGCTGTCCACGTCCATGTACGCTCTGTCATGTATTATCATTTGACAGCGAGGCCGTATTCGCAGCACTCAGACTTGATTTTCGAAACATTTCGACGGATTTTACAAACCGTAGTTGTTTTCACTCAAATCAAAATTAATACTCCAGAGGATAGGTTATATCCAATGTGATAAAACGATTTTGACTATCAACGCTCGCTAAATACGAATAACAAATAAATAATCTTTCACCTCATCTTATTGTTTCAATAAATGTTGGTGGTGTATTTTCAAAAGGGGGTTTCGGTGAATATAAATGAATTTATTCATTTACTATATAAAATGTACTTGTATATTCTCTCCATATTTGTTCATCACTAATAGAATACGTCAGTCATTTGCCGGGGAATCACAAACCCGAAGTTCTTGGTTTGCATCCGAATGCCTCGATTGGCTACTCCGTTCGATTTGCTCGCAATCTGTGGTCCAGTTTACTCATGTTGCTACCGGAGACGGAAGCCGTTGGGGGTATTCCGTCTGCACAGCGTCTAAGTCAAGTTGCTGCCGTTGCCAACCCCAATCAGGAAAATGGCGTGGAGCAGCCTGGTTCCATATTGCCCAACGGTCAAGTGCGTCGATCAAGCACTCGATCACAACCGGATCAACAGGACGGTACATCTACAGATATGCCTGTCGTACCAAGTCAGGACGCGGTAGCATCATCTGTGGATATGGAACAACCACACCCCGCCGGTCATGCGGAATCAATGCCAAACGATCAGTCTAGCGGCCCGGCACCAGAGAGTGATGACGCAGGCAGCACAAACGATCATGCGGACGATGAAGACGACGATGATGATGACATAAATGAGCGGCATGAGGAAGACCTCACTGAACGGGCGCGTCGTCGTACACTATCTGTTTCCGTCTCCACAACCGCACGCTCTTCTATGTTATCTTTTGGTGACCCATCTGGTGGAATGGCGGGTCCTTCGGGTCCAACTGCTACCAGTCGAGAACTGATGATTGGTAGACTGGAAGACAGTTTGCTGAATCGTTTGCCTGCATTATTTGACGT